TTAACTTTGGCTTGAAATCTATTTTATTTGATATGAGTATGGACACTCCTGCTTGTTTCCGAAGTCCATATGAGTGATATGATTTTTCCCAACCTTTCACCTTCAGTCTATGTATGTCTTTTCCTATCAAATGCGTCTCCTGTAGGCAGCATATTGTTGGGTCTTGTTTTGTGATCCAGTAAGATTGGCAGCCATTATGAGGTCAAACAACAACAAGTGCTGGCGAGGATGTGGGGAAAAGGGTACACTTGTACATTGCTGGTGGGACTGCAGATTGGTGCAGCCAATTTGGAAAGCAGTATGGAGATTTCTTGGAAAGCTGGGAATGGAGCCACCATTTGACCCAGCTATTCCCCTTCTTGGTCTATTCCCTAAAGACCTAAAAAGAGCGTGCTACAGGGACACTGCTACATCGATGTTCATAGCAGCACAGTTCATAATAGCAAGACTGTGGAACCAACCTAGATGCCCTTCAATAGACGAATGGATAAAAAAAATGTGGCATTTATACACAATGGAGTATTACTCTGCATTAAAAAATGACAAAATCATAGAATTTACAGGGAAATGGATGGCATTAGAGCAGATTATGCTAAGTGAAGCTAGCCAATCCCTAAAAAACAAATGCCAAATGTCTTCTTTGATATAAGGAGAGTAACTAAGATCAGAGTAGGGACGAAGAGCAGGAGAAGAAGATTAACATTTAACAGGGATGAGAGGTGGGAGGGAAAGGGAGAGAGAAGGGAAATTGCATGGTAATGGAAGGAGACCCTCAGGGTTATACAGTGGAGGGGGTAGAGAGAGAGGAGGGGAGGGGAGGGGAGAGGTGGGGAGGGGGGAGGGTGGAGGATGGGAAAGGCAGCGAGGCACAACAGACACTAGTATGGCAATATGTAAATCAATGGATGTGTAACTGATGTGATTCTGCAATCTGTGTATGGGGTGAAGGTGGGAGTTCATAACCCACTTGAATCAAAGTGTGGAATATGATATGTCAAGAAATTTGTAATGTTTTGAACAACCCACAATAAAAAATTAAAAATATAAAAAAAAAAAAAAAAGAGAACTGCTCTGAGGGCTCCTAGTTCCAGGTTTATAGGCCCTTAGATTAAGCCTTGTAATTTAAATTAGATCATATACCAAAAACCAATTAGTGTTAAGTGGTAGCAACATACCCTCATATGCAACATAGGTGAAGATTTGGCTCTGGCATTAGACTGTGGTCAAACTCTGTTTTGGTTTACTAGTTGATATTACCTGAACAAGTTGTTTGATTTCTTTTTCTTACTTTTTTTTCATCTTGGGGATTGAGCCCAGGGCTTCACACATGGCTGGACAAGAGCTCTACTACTGACCTATAACTGCAGTGGGAAGCAAAAGTCCAATAGTAATCCTGGGTTTCTCTAGGATTTTGGAAACTGAGTGATTGAGAGACAAAGTATCATCAAGAACACCCCCATAGCATAATGGATGATGAGAATTCTTTCAGTTCCAAAAAATAAAAGATACAAAGAATAGAGGCAAGTCATAGTCTAAATATTTTTAAAAACTTAGAGTCTTACTAAGTTTCCCAGATTGGCCTTGACTTAGAATCCTCCTGCCTCAGCCTCCCAGATAGCTGAATTACAGGCATTGCCACTAGGCTCAGCATTTTCTTCATCTTTAAAATATGATTAAAAAACAATAGTTTTTTATTATTTTTAGGATATTGAAAAGATAAATGAGAACCTAATTAGCACATAGCATGGTCCTGATATGAGTCAGAAACACTCAGAAAATTATTAATGTTATTAGCTTTGTTCTGGGATACAAACTTCTTTAAAGCTTAAATCATAAAAAATAAACAAAAAATTCTAATAGGTGTTATAAACCTTTCATGATAAGGTGAAATATCTTTTGTTTTTGTTTTTGTTTTGTTTTGTTTAATTGAGACATAACTTATATACAATACAATGCATACATTTTAAGCTGCCCATTTGATGACTATTGTATACACCCATCAACACACACTCCAATCAAGATATGAAATATTTTCATCAACCCAAGAAGTTGTTTCCTACCCTTTATGAGTTAATATCCACCTCCAGAGGCAACCACTGGTCTGTTTTGTTACTATAGATGCCCTGTATTTAGGTTTGACATTTTCCATAATAAACTATTGAAACATACAAAATTTTTAAAACATCAAATCTGATTTTCTTTTAAATGGGTGAGATAAAGATTGGAAGAGTTGATGAAATGGCTTTTTGATACATTTAATACTTAGTAAACCAGAGTAAGGGCATGCTGTATAGAAAATACAGGAAGGATAGTATATATATTCAATATATGCTGTAGTGTGGGTGTCTGAGGATCAATTGAAATGCCCTGTGTATCATAAGCATGGGAGATTCAGGGGAAAAGCAAAGCATTTATTTACTTTGGCATAGTGCCACCCAATACTAAAAGGTAAAGGATTAACTCTTTAAAAAACGTATCATAAGGAAACATTCTCAGACTGGATTCGAAGGCTCATGCCTGTAATCCTAGCAGCTCAGGAGGCTTAAGCAGGAGGTGAAATATCTTTAAAATGAATTTGACATTTGAGTGTGTTGAGAATGGGCTGCATAAACAAAATTCTTTTTTATTTGATTAATATCTGATGTGGGCCATACATTATCTCTCCCTCCTTTGTTTGCAGACTGCCAAGTCTGTTAGAATAAATGGCTCTAAATACCAAGAAATTTTTTGAAAAAAATTGATGCATACCCTTGGAAGAAGGTCTATTAGCAATAGGTCACCTGAGTTTGTTCTGAATGCCTTTAGGAGAATAGCAAAGCCCATATGCAGGTATTTGTGAGCCATTAAAACTTTGAGAGAAGATAGCCTGAGATTATTGAGAAAGAATGTGTGAAAACTTGGCCTGTGGCTTGGCACACCTGACAGGTGCTTCATAATGCCTCTAATCCTCCCCTCCAAAGGTTTTTCCTTTAGGTAATCTGAAGTCAGCAATTCCCCATGGTTTGGGGTAGGTCCTGATTGTCATAACTGCAGGGCTCATAACTGTGGAAGCCTGAATTGCCTCACTTATACCATAATTTGCAAATTATGAGTGTATTTACTCCTTTATCTGGGCTGTGACCACTAATGACCAGCTGGACGGGCCATCAGCTCAGCTCTGGGCTTGTCACAAATAAAGGACTGGGAGGGTGGGAATATGCTATGGCCTAGATAGAAGAGCTGGTCTTCAGGCCCTGGGGAAAATGCCTCCCAGGAGAGGCTGAAGGTGCCTATGCAAGAGCAGGAAAAGTATCAGAAAAGAGAGGAGGGGAGGAGATTTTACAAAAAAGCATCTGTCTTTGGTTAAGACTGCATGACAGGAAGAAGAAAGTTAGAATAACTGAAGGAAGGTGGAAGTAGGGAGGTGCTATGGTTTGAATGTGTCCTTTCCAAACTCCAGGTGTTGCCAATGTGATCCTATTGAGAGGTGGGGACCTAAAAAGGGGAACAGGTCACAAGACCTTCTCCTTCAGGAAGGGCATTAAGGCCTTTATAAAAAAGGTTTCCTACAGCACTGGCTGGCTGGCCTTTCTGCCTCTGCCATGCAAAGACACAGCAAGAGCGCTCTCATCAGACCAAATACTGACTGGTGCCTTCATCTTGGACTTTATGACTTTCTTTATATACTGCACAGTTTAGGGATTTTGTTGTAGCAGCACAAACATACTAAGACAAGGCACAAGTGTGCAGATAGGCCCATGCCACAATGGCCTGTGGGGAGCAAATCAACACATCTCCTTGTTTTCCCGATGAAAATGAGGACAGTGTGTGAAAGAGGAAAAGGGGAGGGGGCGGGGCGGGGGAGCTGATCTTGTGGATCAGTGGTGGAGCACTTGTCTAGCACGTGTGAGGCACTGGATTCGATTCTCAGCACCACATAAAAATAAATAAATAAAGGTAGTATGTCCATCAGTAACTAAAACATATTTTAAAAGGAGGGTGGGTTGCTGGGACTAAAGAGGGTGTTTTGTTGACGTGAGACCTTTATGCTGTCCCTGGAGAGTTGAAAATATCTTAGTGAAGACCTCTTGATTAGAGTGCTCCGATGGACTGAGAACATTTGTGCAAAGGAGAAAATGTCCCAGCAAAGATAGCATCTTATACATTAATGACTTGAAAAGCAGATGGAAAAGTAGCTGTCAGAGATTATATATCTATATCCATTTCTGGGAAAAGGTGATAGAAAATTCCACAGGATCTTAAGTGTTGTCCATAATGTTTTAGGGAACATCTCACATGATGTCAGACCCCCTTTCCTGTAGCTCTCCAGTGCCAGACAGAATTCCTTGTTTAGCAAAATTCCTTGAATCTTGATTTCTCATCATAGATGATCTTGTGATGTATTACTCAAGTAAGCATGCTCTTTTCCCACTCAGGAAGAATTATGTTGCTCATTAGTGTATGGAAGACTCTGATAAGTTCCATATAAATAAATCTTGGCAAATTTCATTTAGCTCTCTTTTCCTTTTTTTTTTTTAACATTAACTTTCATTAAACCACCATTGGATCTAGTGAATTCATTAACTGCAGTACTGCACTGATGGTTAGAAAAGATATGTGTATATTGATAGGTTCTTGTGCAGTCCTACATGTATTTAGAACCTACTGGTATTTAGGCCTGTCTCTGTGTTCCTAGTCTGCTCTCTTTCCCACCTCCTAGATTTTCCAGTCATTTCCCACAGGCCAGCTCTTGGGTCTCCTTACCTCCATGTAGCTCTCATGGAAGAATTCCAGGTTGTCTGTGTTTCTCTTAGAACTCTTTCCCAGATGTGATCTGATCAGGGCTGATTTAGGCCTCCTTTTCTTTGGGCACCAGCCAGGGATTTGTGCTCTCTTTTTTAGCAACAGGATCCTTGTATAATGAGAGATGAGGCTATTGCCAGCTGTGGACAAGAGAAATAAGCAAACAGTTGCCTTGTCATTGAATTTAAAAGGGAGTTCTGTTTTCTCCCATCCTTCAGGTTATATTTGCTTTGGACCAGACCCTCCTGCAGCAGAAGAGCCTGTGAGCAGGCAGCCTAGGACAGGCCTTTTGCTGTGGACCATCAAGTGGAGCCAAGTGACTTGTCAGATCTCAGATGACCTCTATCATGAACCATCTCATTATACTCTATAACTGTGGCGACCTCAGCTCTGTCATCTTCAGCCATAGCAGCTCCCAGGTGAGTGGCCTTGCCTTCTGTTGAGATGAGGAACAAAGATATCACCCACAGGCATCTGGGTGTACTAAGGACAGGTGTCATGTAGGGCTCTAAAAATAAAATTGGCAGATTTAGATGTCATTGAATGAGATACTTCAGCTAATGAGCATTCTTTTTGAAGCTTCTAAGAATGGAGAGGGGTATTAATCAGGACTAATTCCAAGATTGCAGTTACAGGGTGAAGCTTCAGAAGGTTCAGCAGCAGGCCCCATGAATCAGCTGTCAGGGAGAGGAAGGGATCCAAATCCATTGGCCTCTTGATCGACTTGACACTTTTGAGAAATGATGGAGCAAAACTTGTGATCCTCCTGTCTGAGTGTCTGGAGGAGCTGGTATTACAGGTATGCACACTGAACCTAGAATGCTTGTGGAATTCTTATGGGGCACTTCCAGTGTTTACAGATAGATCATTCTATCCTGCATTATTACTGAATAAGTGTGGCCATGTTGTGGTGGTGTCAGTGTATGCCTAGGACAGGCCTTTTGCTGAGGACCATCAAGGGGAGCCAAGTGACTTGTCAGGTCTCAGAGGATCTCAGCCCCCCAACAGGAGAAAGGTGAGACAGATGTTTACTAGGCTTTTTGAGCAAGCTGCCATGGAACTCTGGAACATTCTCTTCCCCTCTCTTCACCCCCCCCCCCGCCCCAGAATCTTGTGGAAGTAAGTGGCCAGTGCCAACTCAGCTTCTGAAATAGTGGAGTGTGTTGTCTCTCCCCTCTAGGACCAGTGTCCTCATCTCATGAAATATTTGCCCAAGAGAGAGAAATAGGAAGTAGAGAAATAATGAAAATGTTAAATGTATAAAATTTATAAAACAGGTAAATGTTTATTGAAATGTTTTTGGATTCACTAGAGAAAAGATAGCCTATTTTCTCTATGGTGCTGAAAAAATTGGATATACACATGTAACAAAATAAAATTAAACTCCTCTCTCTCAACCTGTGCAAAACTCAACTCAAAGTGGATCAAAGAGTTAGGCCCTAGACTAGAGACCCTGCACCTACCTAGTAGAAGAAAAAGTAGGCCCAAATCTTCAATATGTTGGCTTAGGATCTGACTTCCTTAACAAGATCCCTAAAGTATAAGAAGGAAAATCAAGAATCAATGAATGGGATGGATTCAAACTAAAAAGCTTCCTCTTAGCAAAGGAAACAACCAATAACATGAAGAGAGAGCCTACAGAATGGGAGAAAATCTTTATCACATGCACCTCAGATAGAGCATTAATCTCCCGGATATATAAAGGACTCAAAATACTTAACACTAAAAACCCAAATAACCTAATCAATAAATGGGCTAAGGAACAGAACACACACTTCACAGAAGAAATACAATCGATCAACAAATATATGAAAAAATGTTCAATATCTTTAGCAATTAGAGAAATGCAAATCAGAACTACTCTAAGATTTCATTTCCCTGGGTCAAAATGGCAATTATCAAGAATACAAATAACAATAAATGTTGGCCAGGATGTGGGGAAAAAGGCCTACTCATACATTGCTGGTGAGAATGCAAATTGGTACAACCATTATGGAAAGTGGTATGGTTCCTCAGAAAACTTGGAATAGAACTACCATTTGATCCAGCTACCCTGCTTCTTGGTTTATACCCAAAGGACTTAAAATCAGCATATTACAATGATGCAGCCATATCAATGTTCATAGAAGATTAACTCACAATATCTAAACTATGCAACGAACCTAGGTGCCCTTCAGTAGATGAATGAATAAAAAAGTGAGTGTGTGTGTGTGTGTGTGTGTGTGTGTGTATATATATATATATATATATATATATATATATATATGAATAAATATTACTCAGCCTTAGATGAAATTATGGCATTTGCTGGTAAATGGATGGAACTGGAAAATATCACCCTAAGTGAAATAAACCAATACCCAAACACCAAAGGCCAAATGTTTTCTGATATGCTGATGCATATCAATGTGGGGAGCTAAGGAAGAGGAGAGTACTTTATGTAGAGGGGAATGAAGGGAGGGGAGTGGATATGGGGATAGAAAGGATAGTAGAATGAATCAGACACTATTACCCTATGTACATATATAATTCTATATCATATATAACCAAAAGAATGAGAAATTATACTCCATTATATATGATGTATCAAAATGCATTCTACTGTCATGTATAACTAATTAAAACAAAAATTAGTTTTAAAAAAGAAACACCATGCTTTGGGTAGTGCAATCAAAATTATTAATTCTAAGATATGTAATCATGTAACATTTCTTTTATGAAAAAAGTGTGAATCAAGTTAAAACTGTGCATGGACTATACAAAGATATGGTCTGTAATACATACATAGCACCAAACACAATCTTTTAAGTGGAATGGAAGTATTATTTTAAACCTAAGAGTTTTAAGCCTTTTTATTATTATTTTAAGGCTTTTCAGTGAACTTCACTTAATATTCTTTCACTTTGGTTATAGTCAGAAGCGTAGCAGACAGGAGACATCAAGAATAGTGTGTCCCCCCTCACCCTTCTCTTAACTTGTCATCCAGGCTGCAGGATTAGATGCTTAAATGAAGCAACTTTGTTAGTTACCCTGTTGCCCTTGTTTTCTTTTTCTTTTTCTTGTGGTAGAGGTTTCCAATTTCATAAATGCCATGCTCCAGCCTCAGGAACACATCACTGCTCAGGAGATCAACAGCCACTTCTGTCAAGAGCTGATCTACAAGTGGAATGAGAGAATGGAGGAGCAAGGGAAGGCACTTTCGGAGGAGTTCCCTGACAAGGGCTTTTTCTTTGTTTTCCGAGCTGGCAGCCTCTGATTAGATACTCTGGGATCTGCCGCCTCTGTGGGGGGAATGTTGAGGCAAAGCCCCTACTCAGGACCTGTGTTGACATCAGTAGTGACTCACTTCAGTTGCAGAGTAGCTCCAGCTGGTGCTGGGAATCCAATGTGGTGGAAATGTTGCTGGAGGGCCCAGTGTATGTGACATTATTCATTGCTTTCCCTCCACACAGGGGCTTAGTGACATATGAGTCAGTTGGGAAGGCATCTCTCTGTCCTGAACTCAGCACTCAATCCCAGCTTCTTTCTGATACCTTTTGTTTTTTAAACTGTCACTAATGTTTGTTTATCTTCATTCCCCTTCCTGTGAGCCTCCCAATGTTAGGTTGACACATAAGCCATTGATAAATATTAATATACACATGGAGGGGGGGAAATTATTTCCTTTTCTGGGCTTTTTGAAATAATTTCTATCCTGCTTTTGAGTGATTTTTAACCCATAATTCTTTGGAGCCTGAGAAATGAAGGACAGAAAAGCCAGAGGCTGGGCAGTGTGCAGAAGGACTAGGTTTTGTCCTTTCAGATCCTTCCACTGTTTTTGTGTGTCAGTCAGCTTCCCATTGCTGTAACAAATGCCTGAGACAAATCAAAAGAATTATTTGATTCACAATTTCAAAGGTTTCGGTCCATGATTACTTGGCTTACTTGCTTTTAGGCCTGTGGTGAGACAGTATATCATGTATGGCAGACATACGTGGTGGAGGAAACTGCTCACCTCATGACAGCTGGTAGGAAAATAGAAAGAGGAAGAGTGTAGGGTCCCAGTATTTCCCCTAATGAAAACCCCAATGACCTAACTTCCGTTTACTGGGCCCCACCTCTTAAAGAGTCCAACCTCCTCTCAGTGGTGTCACCTACTGGGGACAACACATAAGCCTTTGGGGCACATTTAAGATCCAAACCATAACTCTTCATTAATTTGGACAAGTCACCTTTCTCAGTTTCTTTACCAGCAAAATGTGAGTTTAGAGATTAACACTTGCAGAATAACAGAGTAAAGGCTGCTCCAAACATGCTCCTCCATAAAAGGCAATAAGAACACTAGGAAAAAATGGTCAATATCAACTTTTACAGAGCTCTAGAAATTAAATAAAGGCTTGAAACAGCCCAGGGTATGTTTACTTAAGAAAACTAGAGATTAGTGGCATTTAACTTGCTCTATTTTATCCTCTTTGTCCCAGCTTCTTCCTAGCTTTGTCTTGAAAATCCACAACCTTTAAACTCAGAAGCCATAACAACTGGTTGCTTAATAATTACTGGAGGGGAGATAATGGGTTTGGAGTTTCCCTGAGGCTCCATCCTTGAAGAATCATTATTATTTAATTTATCTCATAGTTCCCTAAAAGTTTCATTCCAAGCTTATGTTCATTTGACCTGACTCAAAGCTCTTTCTCTACATAGCCATATTCTTAGGGGGTTTGTTGAAAATAGTCAGTGGTAGTGGCAGTAGTCATAGCTGCCCATGACAGCAATAATTGGGGCTTACAACAGACTGACCTCCCCCCCCGCAAAGAAAAAGCAAAATGGATATGAGATGTACCATATGGGATTTTGAAAAGTTCTCACATATTATTGGGAATCTCAAGGGCCAAGTGTAAGAGAAAGGCTATGTACATGCCCAGGAAAGACCTCAGAAGGTCCTAATCTCTCACGTCTGTCTGCACAGAAGAAAAACTAAGGCAGGGTTGTAAACTGCCTGCTGGAGCATTGAAGGCATGCTCCAAACTCATATAGCCTCTCTTTGAAGAGGCTGGGAGACTTACTGGTTGAATATGTTTAAGGAAATCTCTGAACAGTCATTAGCTGACCACTAAACTAACTGACTAGAGACTCCAGTGGCCACACCTATCAAAGAATCCTGACTTTACAGAAAGTCCTAAGTGACTAAACAAACAAACAAACAAATGGCAAAATAAAAATAACAACAGCAGATAAACAATGATGTACCCTGGGAAGAAGGGTTGGCTTCATCTAAGTTCCCAGATTTGTGGATCTAAAGTTGTTCATCATATTCTTTTATTATCCTTTTACTATTCCTGGGATCAGTAGTGATGATTCCTCTTTTACTTCCAATATTAGCAATTTGTGTCTTCTCTCTTCCCCTTGTTAGCCTGACTAGAGGTTTATTAATTATATTGATCTTTTCAAAGAACCAGTTTTTGGTTTTGTTGACTTTCTGTATTGATTTCATGGTTTTATTTTCATGATTACTGCTTTAATTTTTCTTATTTCCTTTCTGCTTGATTTATCCTTAAATTACTCTTCTTTCTGTAGTTTTTGAAGGTGAAACTAGAGTTTTGAGATGAATCTTGATCCACTGCTTCTGCTGCCAGGTGGGGTCTGCACAAGCTGTAGGCCCCTGCGGCCTAGAAGTGTTGCAGTTCTTAATGGTGGGCCATGCCCTCCAATGTTGCAGCAGACCCCAGCAGTTCATCATCTATTTCTTCTTCTTTCAGGGTTCTTGTCTCGTGAATTTGAAGAATGAATGCCACTGATCAGGACGAGTGAGTGTAATGTAGGAACAGCACTCTTGCAGTGCAAGGGGGGACCCAATAGCAGGTGTTCTCTACTGGAGTGTGCTAGTGTAGGGGTTTGTATAGCACTTGATTCAGTGCTATTAGTCCAAACTTATGCTAATTAGGACTTGGAAACATAGTAACACTATTGGTCAATTTTTTTTTTAAATATTTATTTTTTAGTTTTCGGTGGACACAACATCTTTGTTTGTATGTGGTGCTGAGGATCGAACCCGGGCCGCACGCATGCCAGGCGAGCGCACTACCGCCTGAGCCATATCCTCAGCCCACTATTGGTCATTTTTTGAGTCCCAACTTCCATTCAAGTTTGCCCATTTCCATTTTTTTGTGGCAGGTCAGGGAACGGGATTTTAAGGCTCTGAGATGGGGCTGCAGCACCTCACAGAGTGTTCTTCTGCAGCATCCTCACTGTGTGCGGCCATGCTGATGCTGGGGTGACAGGTCAGCGTGGCTTGGCTCATCTTGGTGCTGGCTCATTGCACCTCAGGTCTACCCTGCCTATATGATGGGCTCCATGCTGCTACTGTGCTGCTCCATACTCCACTGCCACTTTTTGGCAGAGACCAATAGGCTGGCTGCACTGCATGGCAGCCAGGGAGCTCTGTCAAAGGTACAAACTTATATTTGTCCATTGTCAACCAACACTGGCTTCATGAATGAAGGTTCAAAACGTGAGAAATCTCTAAGGAGTTTTGAATTAAAGAGACAAGACTCTAATTACCTTTAAACCAGCTCCAGGATGGCTCCTCCTAGGTCCAGCCTTCAGCCACCCATTGTGGTAGCGAGGTTTACTAAAGAGGGGGGAGAGAGAGAGAGAGAGAGAGAGAGAGAGAGAGAGAGAGAGAGAGAGAGAGAGAGAGAGAGAGAGAACACGCCATGGAGTGGACTTTTATTGGGGAACAAAAAATTCTGGGGAAAATCCCATCCAATGAAGATTAAGGGGGGCCGCATCCCAAGGTCAGGGGCAATGATTGGGTCTTCAGGGTAGTGGCCAGACATGCCTCCGAACAGACAAGCCTTCGGAACCTGAGAAGGATGGGGAAAGCTTTGGACATAGCTGTGCCTAAGCGCCTCTCACCCAGCCAGGGAGGTAACTCAAATCACGTGCGAGGATGGCCTCCCACACTTGAAGATATTGGTGGTATTATAGCAACTTATATCTCTCAAAATTCTTTTCTGTGTGGGTTCTCTCCTCAAGGTAACACATTTTATAAGATTATATCACTTTATTTTTATTAGTCATTTTTTTTTTTTTTTTGCAGTGCTGAGGGTTGAACCAGTGGTGCTCTACCACAGAGTCTTGTCCCCAAATCTTTTAATTTATTTCTTTTTTATTTGGAGACTGGGTCTTGCCAGGTTGTCCAAGCTAGCCTTGAATTAAAAAGGAAGAAAGCCATTTTCCCCCCTCTGTCAAATCTCTTTATGAAGATAAGAAAAAACATCTCAGGGATGAAAGAATTTCCTTTATGTTTTTAAAAGAATAGAGAAATGACTTGTCTGCCCTTTCAGAAGCTGGGAGAGTTTCTTGTTGTTCTCCATAGATGTCACCAAACTATCTTTGTGAGTAGGTATAGGCATTAGCACATGTCACCTGTTCAGTTCAGGCACAGAGTTGTAGGTGTCTCATGAGATTGGCCTGTAGCAGAGAGTTAAGGGTGTAGGGTTTGGGGCTGGGGTTGTGGCTCAGTGGTAGAGTGCTTGCCTAGCACACATGAGGTGCTGGATTCAATCCTCAGTATCACATTAAAACAAAAAAAAACTAAATAAACAAAATAAAGCTATTGTGAACATCTACAACTAAAATTTTTTTTAAAAGCATGTGGAGTTTGGAGTGGGATTGCCTGTATGTAAATCCCAGCTCTGCCATTGTAGCTGTGCAACCTTGGCCAACAAGCCTCCTACCTCCTAGTGCCTTAGTTCTCTTGACTGTAAAATGGGGTGGCACGTGGAATCCATGTCGTAAAGTTGTCAGAATTAAAGTCTTGTGTGAATTTCCCTCTAAACATTGTTCTTGCTGCTTCCTGCAAATTTTAATGTTTTATTTCCACTTTCATTTAGTTTAATCTTCTCTAAAGTTTCAGGAAACTTCTTTAATCAATGTTCTATTTTAAAATGTACTGTTTAATCTTTATGTATTTGGGGTTTGAGGGGTACCTTTGTGTTATCAATTTCTAGTTTAGTTTAATTGCCTGAGAGCTTATGTTGTAAGATTTCTATTCTTTTAAATCTGCTGAGGCATGTTTTATGACCCAGAATATAGTCTATCTTGGTGAATATTCCACCTGAGTAGAATAGAGTATGTTTTCTTCCATTGTTGGATGAAGTATTTTATAAATTTTAGATCCATTTCATTGACAATGCTTTTCAGTTCAGCCATATTCCTATTTGATCATTCAAGAATCTTTATCATGTCTGAGTCTGATGCTTACTTTGTTTCTTTAGACTGTTATTTTTCTCATTTTTTAGCGTAATTTTACATTTTTATTGAAAGCTGGACATGAATCTGGTAATGAGAACTACGGTAAATACTATTATGTGCTGCATGACAATGTTTCTGTTAGTGATAATGTTATGGCTTAGATATTAGTTGTCCTCCAAAAGCTCACATGTGAGACAATGCAAGAACATTCAGAGGTGAAATGATCAGGCTACGAGAGCCTTAACCCAATCAGTGAATTAGTCTCCTGATGGGATTAACTGAGTGAGTGGTAACTGAAGGTGGATGGGGTGTGGCTGGAGAAGGTGCTTGGTGGTGTGCTTTTGGGGTATATATTTTGTATCTAGCAAGTGGAGTCTCTCTCTCTCTCTGCTTCTTGATTATCATGTGAGCTGCTTCCTTCTGTCATATTCTTCTGCCATGGTGTCCTACTTCACTGTGAGTCCCAAGGAATGAAGCTAGCTGTCTGTGGACTGAGTTCTGAAACTGTGAGCCCCCAAATAAATATCCCTCCTCTAAAATTGTTCTTGTCAGGTCTTTTAGTCATAGTAACAAAAAAGCTAATACAGGTAGACTGTGTATACAATGGTGGACTAATTAGATTGTATCATCTAGAGACATCATAGATATCTTAATTTGTCTAAGTACTCTATATGTTCTCACATAGAGTAAAAAAATCACTGAATTGTATGCTTTAAAAGAATAGATCTTAAAATTGTGATCTATATGTGTAATATGAATTGTAATGAATTCTGCCATTATAACAAATTAAAATAAAAAATAGAATTTCACGTAAAAATAATAGATCTTACTTTATGTAATTGTTTGAATAAAACTGTTATAAAAAATGAGAGGTTTGTCTTCTATACCTTATTGATTGAAGAATTCTGCCACAAAACAAATTGCTGTTTCTGCCTTTCATGGTGCCTCTCAAATCTGTGTGAGTGGTTTCCCTCTTCTATAAGTCTTAAGTTTCATATTTGGATTGTTACACTATGTCCAACTCCTTCCTGTCTCAACAAATGACTTTTTCAAACAAAGCTGTTAGCCAGGGTTTTGCTCTTTAGGTACCCGACAGTGGTGTTTCCCCTGGCTTGTTCCCTGGTGTGAACATTAGGAAACAGCTTTGTCTTACTAAAGTACACATCTGGGTAGCAGAGATACAAAGTGCCTGGGCACTGGAGCCTTTACCTTCTACTCTTGCCAGACTCAGTTAATTTCCCAAGAGCTTCCCCTGCATCCAGTAATACATTAATGGGGTGCTCAATGGAGGGTTAAGTTAGATGTGTGTTCTGGGCAGGTGGGAGGCTAGACAGCATATTTTGATCTGGGTAGTTTAGTGGGTGGGCCTTTGGATAAGGTTTGTGCTGGTGCAGATGGTGTGAAGTGACATTGTAACACCTGGACTTCTCTGATTCTAAGGATACAATTTATGATTCTAATGTATCCCCGAATGGAACTCTCATAGCCCCTGGGCACCCGGGTGTCAGGGTTCTTTCTAGAATGATTATTTTTTGTGGCTTCTTTCTCCCTGTGCCTTCTCAGGTGGGGTTGCTGACACCCTTACCTCCAGCATTTTAAAATTTAAAAAGCTGGATTTGGGATACTTTCCTAAAATCCATGAGGCCCTGGATTCAATCCCCAGCAATACCTCCCCGCCCCCCCAAAAAAAAAATCAGTGTGGTTAAGAAAATACTTGATTGCAAAATGAGGATAACCAAAAACTGAAAGTACTGAAGCTTTAATATCAAACAGTAGCTTTTGTCATTGGGATCTGGAGACAAAGTATGAAGAAATGGAGCTCACCTTTGGAAAAGTCAAGGGTGCTCAGCAGAAGCTGTAATCACTTGTTCCAATTGCCATTTCCTCATTCTTAAGTAAATAAATAAAATACTATGAGTGATTAAAGACAAGTTCTTTTTTTTCTTATTTAGATGTTGTGTTGATCTTAAATCAGCTCATGCTAACTTTTGGGCTCCTGGTTTGCCAGGGTTACCTTGCCAGTGGTGATAGCTTCTCCCCACTCCCAATTATTAGGTCTGTTTCTGGTTAGAGTTGGTCTAGGCTGCAGGCAGAAGAGGGATGGGAGCTAATGGTTTTACTAAAAAGATCATTGGAGCGGGAATCCTCAAAGGAAGGCCTAGAGTGAGGGGTACCCTAGGACACAGTGGTTGCCAAGAAACATCACATATGGAGCCAGATACCCCTTCCCTGCATGAGGATTTCCATAAGTGAAACTAGGAACCAGGGCTTCTGTGTTCCTTCTGCTTGATCTTGCTATTATTTGTGATGGTGCTGTAGGCTCCTGGGATCCCTGACTGTGGCTCCTAAACTATAATGCCTCCTGTCCTATGCAGAAACATCTAAAAAGAGAATTTCTCAGACTAGGTTGCTTTTGTTGGAAAGTGATGATTGGGTACTAAGCACTCATTCAATCCCACCAGCCTGCTTTCTTCCCCAGGGAGCACCTTTGCATTTCTCCATAGGTGGAAACTTTCTCATTTTCCCCAGACCAGCTCCCATCCTGCGCAAATGTCACCTCCGCTGGGAAGTCTTACTACATTGGGAGTTTGATGTTCAGGTTCTTTCTATCCTTAGCTGTGGGACTGAATGAGTGCTTACTCATTCAGTAACTCCAGGCAAACTCTCCCGTTGCTCTCATTTTCAGTGTCCTCATCTCCAGTGAAAGTGGGAAATGGAAAGAGCATTTCTGAGGCCTCTAGGACCCTGGGCAACCTTCCCTCCACATTGCCTCCCCCCCTATGCAGCTCTGATCTTACATTGCTCTGATCTTCAGTGTCTTCATCTCTGAAACACACTTATCATGCCCTGCCTGCCTGCCTTGTAGGGCTGTCATGAGGCCCAATTTTAGAACCTCTCTGAAACTGTACTGTGCTGCACAGTTGGGAAAGGGATAGGCAGGATGATTTCTTTGTTCTTGGGTGTGTGATTGGGGAGTATATTGGGTGGTCCTGAGAACTATAGTGTTTCTGCTCATTTTTCTCACTGTAGGCTGTTTTATGGGCAACAACATAGTGCTGGATGTGTTGCATTGCAAAGGCCGTGAGAACATGCCCAGGCTAGATGTCCCATCAACAATTGGTTGTATCTGGGTAGACAGCAGCAAGGGGACTGGCTGCCTGGGCACCAGGGTGGCTGTTATCTTCAGAGGCTCCAGAGGACCACAGCATGGTCATTTCCTTGGGGCCCAGGAGAATAGTCATTAGATGGACACTGATGGACATTAGATGGCTGGGGTTGTATCAGACGTGGGTGACTGGGTGGGTACTTGGGACTGCTGAGGGTGCTGTGAACTCTTTCTTAGCAGCATTTAGGGGGAAGGGAACGTGGAGG